TAAGGCCTCATATAAGGAAAAATCTCCTAACAAAGTTGTTGTTCATCCTTTGTTTTTTAAGAGGACCAATGACATCGCAGGGTGGTATCTTGACTTGCACCTGAACTGGATTTAAGTGAGACAGAGTTGCACAAAGTCATCAGCCTCACTCTCTATTTCACAGTCATTGAAGTCTAGTGGCAAGACAAAAATCAGGATGACTAGAGATGGCCCAGTGGATGCAGTGGATGACCTTGACATCTTCAACATCTGTTCAAGCTCTAAGCACTCCACAGCACCTGCTTCGGCCACTTTCATGGCCGCTGAAACAAAGTGCCCTCATCTGCTTATTCCACCAAGGGAAGTCTTCACACACTTGGGGTAGACACCCCTCTAACTCAACCAAGCTGTTGGAGGCCTGTCAATTATTCTCAACCTGGGTTAACCCACCTACCAAGATGGTTTTACTGAGGTGTACCCACTGTGTATGCTACAGTTTCTTTGAACCACAGGTGAGAGTTGGGTGAAGGTGGAAACCAAACGTGGATGAGCAGCTCTCAAAAGGCTTAGTTGCTTAAAATGCCTGTCTAGTAAAGAGGAGATCCTGGGTTTGAATCCCAGCTGTGCCTGTGGAGCTCCAAGTCTCTTTTTGGGATATATGGGGTGTTCAGGGAGGACTAACACCTCTAAAGCTATTAAAAAGCACAATGGTAGGTAGTATGTTCTCTGTCACTGGAAATCTTTAAACAAGGGCTAGATGACTGTTGTATATGTTTTAAAGCAGATTACTGTCTAGGTACAGGTTGGATTTGTTGGTCTCTGAGGTCCTCTCTAACTCACAGTCTCTAATTCTGTAAATTAAGCTGACATGATTATGTTTTCCTAATATTGAACTATTCTTGTATTCCTGATAATGAATTCCACAGTCAAATGAGCCATTCTTTCAAACATACTTCTGTGTTTTGTTATGCGCGCGCACGCACACTCAGGCTGAATCAGCAATAATAGTTTACATTTAAATCACCAAATAACTTATGAATAATACAGCACACACCTTAAATTCATGAAATATTTACCCAGAAACACCATATGATGCTAAGAATTTAGATAATACTGCCAACTAATTGTCAAAATAACAAATAATGAAACCAGGCAAAAAAAGTCATGAGATGTAAGTCTCCTCTTATGAAATGTATTTGCTTTGAGGATCCAAAGAAAGCTGGGAAAAAAGCCCAACAATTAGGCAGATACAGGTGTTAGCTAAGTTTTAAATCTAGAATTAGATTAGGTAGAATTGATTAAAAGCATTATATCACACTTATATGATACACCAGTATCACAGTTTCAACTTCAAGAAAGTGACCAAGGAAGGAGGAAAGCACCCAGGACTGTTTTGACAAGAACCCTACAACATGTAACAAATTTCTCTCCCTCCCCATAAAGATTTTTTAAAAGTTCTGAAACTCAACTGAACAATTACAGTAACTACTATATTCCATCATAACTTAAACCTGGCTAATATGATTAAACAGATGGAAAATATCAATATAAAAAAATGACACAGGAAAATTATAAGAAACAAAATTACTTATGGGGAGGCTTATGGGGACTTATGGAGACATCTGAGCAGGAAAAGTAAAAGAGTGAAAATAATAACCAGAGATACTAAAAATAGAATTGACTTAGGTGCAGAAGCATCATGAAAAAAACTCATTGTGGTACAGTGGATAGAATACTAAATCTGGAATAAGAAAGTGATAGCCCCTTTGTGCTCTGCTCTGGTCAGATCATACCTAGCCTGGAGTATTGTGTATAGTTCTGGGTACCACAGTTTAGGAAGGATGTTAATAAATTGGAGATAGTCCAAAGAAGAGCAGTAAAGAGTCTTGACAGGCCTTGAGTCTATATCAAATGAAGATTGGTTGGGCAGTAGACAGAGCACCAGCTCTGGAGCCAGGAGGACCTGAGTTCAAATCCCACCTCAGACACTTAATACTTACTAGCTGTGTGACCCTGGGCAAGTCACTTAACCCCAACTGCCTTGCCCCACCCCCCACCCCCAAAAAAAGACTGGCTGAAAGAAGTTCAGCCTGAAGAAGATAAGATGAAGGCAGGACATGATAGCTACTCTCAAGCATATGAATGGCTTATAATTTATCCTGCTCATTAACTGGGTTTGGTTACTGCCTCTGAAACTTACTGATATTAGGCAAATACATTTCAGCTCTGTAAACCTTGATTTTCTCATCACTGGAACCACCTACCTCAAATAACATTTATTAAGCACCTACTATGTGGATAGAACACTGGCTCTTGAGCAGCTTATTCGTAAGCTGTAGTTACAGTTACCATCACTGGGGATTTACTAATAAAGTTCATACAAAATTCAAGGAAATACAGAATCTAATTAAAGCAAGTACTCTGGAATCTGATCTATTTTCTGAAGTGTAGCAGGAAGACATTTTTAAAGACTGGTTTATTCTCTACCATGAAAACACATATATGCTCTTCTCATGTGGACTGCGGCAAGATTATTAATTGATTTCTTTTTCTCATCTTAGCAAATATATTGGGTTAGGCTACATTTACTACTCTCTCCATCAACTTACTTTGTCTAAGTTTGTATACATTTTGCAATTCTTCATCTGTCTATACATTAGTAGAATATAAAGTCCTCGAGGGCAGGGATATTTCTCTATCCCCAGCACCTACCACAGTGTTTTGGACTCTTTTTAAACATCTGCTAAACTACTGAATTCAACGTGCAAGGAATTGTGCTAGGTACTGTCAATACAAAAAAAAAAAATGGTCCCTGACCTCTAGGATCTTATATTCTACTTGGAGTGGGGAGCATACATGGAATACATATACATGAGGGTAATCAGTGGAGGGAGACTGGTTCTCACAGATTTCTTAGGATAATAGAAGGAAGGCTGTTTTGAACTTGGGGGCCACATAGTCCAAAATAATTTGCCCAAGGTCATGCAGATACTTTCAAGCCATAAAATACTTGGTGTCAGTTATTATTATTAAAGCACTTTATTAATGTAAACTGTGATTAAGATACATTTGAACTGGACATAGTTTGTGGCAAAGTACTACCAATCACCAACTAGAAACATTCATTCCTTGTAGTTAACACTTAAGATTATAGATTAAAGCTAGGAAAGGCCTCGGAAGTCATTTAATCCAACCCCCTCTTTTTACAGATGAGGAAACTGAGGCCCAGTGAGGTTAAGTGATTTGCCCCAAATCTCACAGGTAGTAAACCTGAGGCACGGTTTGAACCTATGTTCTCTCATTCCTGAGCCAGTGCTCTTTCCAGTGTACCAAGGTGCCCAGTGATCATCAATGTCATTATAAGAATAATGTTTTCCAGAAACGTTTGGCCTTCTCTTGAAAGAGGATCTATTTATTACCACCACCTGTAGCAGTGAGGTATAGCAGAAATAGAAGAACCCAGGTTATAATCTCAGGTAAATCACTCATATGAATAGGCCATTTTGAACTCTTTGACCCTCAGTTTACAAATCTGTAAAATGAGACAATTAACTGTACTATCTTCCTTAGAGTTGTGGTGAGGAAAGTCCTTTGTAAATTATATACTGCTATGTAAATTCAAGTTAAAACCAAACAAAATCTTATGTACACAAAACAGTACACAAAAACCTTCCTTTGTTTAACCAATATTAAACTAGTATCTTTATTTTGCATACAGTACCAAGTCAGGATTTAGTATAGTAGCAAGTAAGATTTAAGTAACCAGTCTGGGGGTAAACTCTCTACTCTGATGTAGTACAGTGTTACCGTTATTAGAAACAACTTTACAACTATGATAATACTAAACACAGGGCAATGACCACCATACCAGCTACTTTTCAAAACTAGACTGTGATAAAGCAAGAAGGAAAGGAAAATACTCTTAAGTTAAAAAGTGAATCAACACTCACAACTAGGACAGCCATTTGAAAAGTCATTGCCTCCCTCCCAGGTCTTCCTTCTCCAGTCACGTACTCCAGCCAGTCCAGGCCATCCTGTAACCCCCATCACCTCAAACTCAGCCTCTGCTCCTCCTGTCACCTCATCTCTGATCCCTCCTGTCCCATTTCTCTCGCTCCTATCCTCATTCTGGTCTGTCCTTTCCTGACACCCCATTCTGCCTCCTTCCTGTCACCTTAACTATGCCTCCCTTTTTCCCACCACCTCAGCCTGTGGGTCCTCCTCTTTTCTATCACCTTAGCCTTGGGGTCTCCCCTCCTGTCACAGCCTGGGCTTTCCCCCTCCTGTTACTTCAACCTTGCTCCCCTCCTTGTATCTCCACAGCCCCGGGTCCTCCCTTTTTTGTCACCTTAGCCCAGGCTCTCCCCCTCCCGTTACTTCAACTTAGGCTTCCCCCTTTGCTATCACCTCACCTTAGTCTACTCTCTTCTCCTCACCTCAATCTTGGGGTCTTCCCTATCTGTCACCTCAGCCTGAGGGTCTCCCCCTTCAGTCACCTGAGACTGGAGGTCCCCCCCCCATCTCAGCCCAGGCTTCCCTCCTCCCATCACCTCAGCCTGGGGGACCCCATACTGTCACCTCAACTCAGGGTTCCTTCCCTTTCTGTCACTTCAGCCCAGTCTCCCCTGCTTCCATCACTTCAGCCTGGGGGGGGTCCCTCCCTTTCTGTCACCTCAGCCCGAGGTAACCCCTTTCTATCACCTCAACCCAGGGGTCCTCCCTCTTGTCACCTCAGCCCAAAGGTCCTTCCCTTTCTGTCACCTCTCCTCTATCACACGGCCTCCCCTCCTTCCATCACTTCACCCCCCCAGGTCCCCCCCTCCTGTCACCTCAGCCAGAGCTCTCTGCCTCTCGTAACACCAGTCCGAGAGTCCCCTCTTTCTGTCCTCCTAACACCTCAATCTGAGGTGATCTTCCTCCCCTAACCTCGGCATGGGGGTCCTCCTCTTGTCACCCCAGCCATAAGCTGCCTCCTACCTGTCACCTCATCTCAGACCTTTTCTCCGGCCCCCCCCCTCCCCCTAGGCTTGGCCTAGCTGTGAGGCCCTTTGCGTCGGGGCCGCGGCGGCGGCGGCGGCGGCGGCACGGCTGCAGCCCCTCTTCGCCCGCCGCGCCGCGATCCCTGGGCCTTTCCTCACCGCCTTCTCGAGGTGACTGCGGGCCAGTTCGCTGTTCTTGGTGTGGTGGTAGAGCACCGAGCCCAGCTGCAGGTGCGTGCGGGCCTCGATGCGCTGCGGAGGCTTGAAGGGAAACACGGCCTGCAGGCAGTGCACGCAGAGTCGGATCTTGGGCGGGCTGGACGTGCGGAAGTGCTCGGCAAAGCCCAGCAGCGCCAGGTACCAGGACTCCGACGCCTCGGCCTGGGCCGCTTGGGCCGCTTGAGCCGCCATCTTGGAACGCACAACAACAACCGGCCGCCGAACTAGGTTGGGGGAGGGGGCGCCGGACGGAAGCCGCGGCGGTTCTCGTGATAACTTGATGACGCGTTCGTGAGCATTCCTCCCTAACTCCCTCGCGCGCGCGGCTCCTCATGGGAGTTGTAGGCTGCCACAGGATGAGAGCGCGATCGATAAGGGGTGCTTGCAGAGCAACCACAAAGTTTTCCGTCCCACAGAGGACGAGTCAGAAACAGTCCTAAGGTCAGAATGAGGCCACCTCTTTAAGGACTCTTTTATAGTGACGTCCGGGAGGGGTCCTAGAGGCACGGACTACACATCCCAGAAGGCTGTGCGCAGTATAGCATTCCCCCCTCACCACTCTCCCGTCCTCCTCCTAAGCCTCTCCACGCACACACAGACATCCCCGCCCGCCCCTACGTGGGGCGCGGTGCACTGTGGGATTGAGGACCTCAAGATGGACAGTCGAGATGTTGCAGGTAACAGCCTCCTTCTTCGTTCCCCTCCGCGAGGCTCCGCTTCCCTCTAGAGGCGCAGCGTAGGCCGGCCCAGCCCGCGGAGCCTCCGGCCTTGCCACCGCGTCGCTGGAGCTGGGAGCTCGGAGTCCTCCCTCGGGGAGCCCTCCACCCCCAAGCCCCGGGTCGGCGGGGGCGGGTCGAAGCCGGCCGGGGGCGGCCCTGGGGGCGGCGGCGGCGAGGCCTGCTGTGGCCGCTCTTAGCCCCGCACCCTCCCAGGCCTCGTGTCCGGCGCCTCGGGGCCCGGCGGGGCAGCCTCTGCACCTGGAGCTTGTCAGGAAATCCTGCCCCGCTAACCTGACTAGCGGCGGGCCTGCCGGGGCTCCGGCGAGTCCAGCTGGAAGCGGCCACCGGTGTCAGCTCCTGCGGGAAGCTTTTCCGAGTTCTATTGTAAATAGTGCTCGCTCCTCTTCTCCTTTTTACCCTCCCCCTCCCTAACTCATCCCGTGTTTACCTGTCTCTCTACTTGTGGTGTTCTCCCTGTCCCCAGAAGAGAGTAACCTCCTAGAAGGCCGGAGCGCCTGGTACAAGAGTGCTGTTTAAATCATTTGTTGGATTGGATTGAATTGAATCTTGCCCTGCCCCCTGCCCAAAGAGAGGGAACTGACTTGTCTAAAGTCATGTAGCCGTGGAAGAGCAAGGTGGTTTTCTGCCATCGTGATGTAGTGGGAAGAGCACTGGAATTTGGAATCAGAAAGCTTGTGTTTCTTCCAAATATTGGCTCTAATACTTCCTGTATTTGTGACCAAAGGCATTCCAGTACTATCGCTACTTTTTAGCTTCAATTTCTTAATCTGTGAAATGGGAATATGTACCTCCTGTCAAGGTTGTTGTGAGGCAAATACTTTGACACTTTTTAGTTGTGTGATTATGGGCTAGTCACTTAACTTTTCCAACATCTATAGTAAATATTATAAACAGTTGTTGAGAGGCCCAAACATGATAACGTATGATGAGTATTTTGTAAACTTTAGAGTGCCACACAAATGTCAGCTGTGGTTGTGATTTGTAAACTTTGTTGCACTATGTAAATGTGAGCTGCTAATACTATTTCTGTGCCAAGCAGGAAAGGAGATCCTCTCTCCTCCAACACAGGTACAAGTATCTAAAAGGCAGCAAAAGAGATGGTCACAGGTTCCAGTTCCCTTGTTAGTAGAGCCCTTTGAGGGGTAGTTCAACTCAAACTACTTGGAGATAATTATTTTCCAAACTAATGCTCTTCTACACAGTACTTCAGCATGCGTAATTCATTCCACTAATAGTACAGATTGTATCATATCTACCTTTTCTCAAACTGTGTGATTGTTTATATACTCCCACATATTTTGAATAGGAAAATCTATTCAGTGTGTTGTAGGTCTTTTTTGAAGTCTTTGTAAATGTGTTTTATTTTGGTGATCAGTGCCTAAGGTTTACATTTTTGTAGTGTTGAATGTTCACAAAGTTTTTTAACTTACAACACCCAGCTGAGATAGGAAATGTTAATGTCCCCCACTTTATAGAGAAAATTGAAGCTTTAAAGATTTGTGACTTGCCCATGGTCAATAACTGAGTTAATGTATTGGAGTCATGAATCATCTTGGTTTGGAGGCAATGGGTGCAATGGAAAGAGTATTGGATTTGGATTCAGGAGATGTGAGTTTTTTAAAACAAGTTCTGCTGCTTACTTGTGACCTTGGGTAAGTCACTTAACCTCAAGAATCATTTGTAAAAATGAGAGTGGTTTGGCCTAAATAACCTCTAAGTTCCTTTCCAGCTCTGAAAATCCTTTGCTCTCAGGTGACTTTTAAATCTTCTCTCCACTCCTCTCCATTCCCCCCAAAATTTATTTCCTCAGTTCTTGTCCTTAGGCTAGACAATATGGGCCTGCTAAAAGTCTGAGTCTGTCAGTTGGGTCATCAGCCCAGAAGTGGAAGGAACAAAACACGGGACAGAATTTATTTATTTATTTAGCTTTTAAACTACTTGGAATGCCCTATAATGAGCCTGGAAAGGCAGGCTGAAGCTTGATTGTTAAAGACTTCAAATATCCAACAGAGACATTTGTATTGATTCTGTAAGGAAGAAGTGAGCTTGTTTTTCAGTCATTTGACTCTTCATGACCCCATTTGGGTATTTTCTTGGCAAAGATACTTGAGTGGTTTGCCATTTCCTTCTCCAGCTCATTTTACAAATTAGGAAACTGAGGCAAAGATTTCAGTGATTTGGCCAGGGTCACTCAGCTAATAAGAGTCTGAAGCCAGATTTGAACTTAGGAAAATGGATCTTCCTGACCAGGCACTGTATCTACTGTGCCACCTAGCTGCCCCAAGAAGTGAGCTATTGGAGCTTTTTAAACAGGTGACGTTGCTTTTAGGGATATCACTTTGCAGCTTTGTAGAGGAAGGATTGGAGGCTGTCTTGTTAGACATTGAGCTCCTCTTAGCTGATAATTTAAGTAAAAACAGTGATGGCTTGTGAGGTGTGGTGAATAAAATGCAATAAAGGCAAACTGATATGCATTTTCTCTGAGGAAGATAAGTTTATTAACGATGCTACTGTTAATAAACTTGGGCAGACTGGGCCCCTCAGTCAAGTCAGAGACATTCATGAGAAGAAAAAAGACCGTTTTTGTTGTCGCTATAGTTGGGCAGCTGTATCCAGTGTAGCTGGGGGCAAGCGGGTTGGCCTTCAGGTGTGGTTGATCACAACTCCTCACTGACAATAAAGAAATGTTAATTACTTTATGGGACTCAACTGCCTCTTATAATCTTGACTAGAAAATCAGAACCACTGAAATCATTCTGTTAGTTGTCCCCTTGGAGGAGATCAAACCACACCTAATTTCTCAGGGACCTTCAAGGACTGAAGAATTGTCTTTAGGAAGGGGGTCCAGCTAAAGCTGGGCGGTTGTTTATAGACAACAAACAAGTACCAGGTTAAACTAGTTAGAAAGCAAATAAATGTCCCAGGGTTTAGGAGTAATCACGTTATTCCCTTTCAGTCAGCCTCTAAGTGGGAGAGATCACACATTTGAGTTTAGGCAGGTGCTAACCATTATGAAAAATCAATATTACATAAAACCAATTACATTGTAGAATCAATGTAGTAGAGATCAGAGGAAATATTAATTTCTTGCCTTATGCAGGGATGAGGTATTATGGTATCATGGAAAGAGAGCTATATTTGGAGACAGGAGACGTGAGTTTAAAACCTGGCTTCTGTCACTGTTATTATCTGTGTGACCTTGGACAAGTCAGCTTCTCTTTCCTCAATTTTCTCACACTCCACTTTAAAATGAATGGTTTGGACTAGGTGACTTCCAAGGTCCTTTTTCATCTCCAAATCTGTGTTCCTATGTCTAATCTAGTTGGAGTAGGAGACTGGACTGGATGTCTTCTAAGCTTCATGATTGATTCCATCTCGTATTCTAGAAGTATATGCTTTCCTCAGTGAAAGTCTTAATTGTCCAAAGAGAAATGAAAAGACACATACTCCTTTTTTTCTTTGTAAGGGGAGGGGGCTGTAGTTGTGGAATACTGTTGATAATATCAGACTTTAAAAATGTGTTAGTTTTACTCAACTAGTTTTTTTTTCTCCCTCTTTTATATTCTTTGTTATAGGAAATGACTCTCAGGGAAAGAGTGAAGGATAGATTGGGAAATGTAAGTGGTGTTAAAACAAAAGATATCAATACAGTTTTCATTTTCAAAAAAGAAAATTTCTGTTAAAAATTTGGTGACTTTAAAAAAATGTTTCCAAAAGCAATCACTGTTTAGGGCAGTGGAAGTTTTTAACTTAAAAAGTAAATGTTGTGGGTCTCTTCCCTGGCCCTTAGCTCTTCAGTTTAGTAATCCAGAAAAGCAGAGTGCATAGAAAGAACAGTGTTACAGAGCCAGATGGGACAGGGAGTTGATTTTGAAGGTAACTATTTCTAAACTAGAGCTAGGAGTGCCTCTACTTTTAAAAAGGTTGTTTTAGTATAATAAAACTTCTTTGAAAAGCAATAAGATCTTGCATCCAGTGCCTCTTCTCAGTTACCTCTGAACAGCTCTTATTCAGTAGCTCTTCTCTTTCCATTTGTATTACTGTAATAATCAAACTTATCTTCTGTCTTCATTATATCTTTTCTTCAGTCAGTCTTTATGTATCATTCTGTTCATGACACTTTTTTTTTAACATAAAAACCTTCAATGGCTCTTTGCTCTTCATTGCTTAAAGAAATAAAGTATAAACTCATTTAAGGTGTTTCATAAGCTGACTCCAAGCTACTTTTCCAGCCTGATCTCATACTGCTTCCCTGTGTGTAGTTGCTGCTCATCCAAATTGACTGTTATCTGTTCCCAGTTCTCTTCTTGACCTCTGCAACCTCAGCTTTCCAATAGGGTCCCCTGGAAAGTAAGGAAGCTCCAACAAGTCTAAATTGTTAGTATAATCATTACATGTCATACTGATTGACACAGATATTATAGATAGGATTTTGGTCATTTCTGCATTCAC